GTGGAACAGGATGGGCACTCAAAGCACGAGATAATGATATAGACATTATAGACAATTAATGCTTTGCATCCATGAAATTGAATCACAATGTCATTGTATTAATTCATAAGAAAAATTAACGTCAAACGAGGTGATGAATTTCTCTGTTTAAAAAGCCAAAATGACAATAGAGACCATGTGGGGGGGGGGGGGTAAATTGTCTCAGGAACCTGGCAAACCCCCTCCTGTAAAAATCCCTGAATCCGCCCCTGGATAGAAAAAAATTAATAAAATGAAATAAACAAAACAAATCAGCACTAAGGATTAGTTTTCATACCCAGCTATTATGATACTAGTGACAAACATTATTTTTACAACTTAAAATAGACAACCTACTCGCAATATCGCATGACATTATATATATATAATTATGTCATATGTCAGTGATAATGAACTGGCCTAACATTTCATTTTAGTTTCTATGTGCATTATTCTTTGCTAATACAATGTATAATTCTGCTTTCATTTTTATATGTCTGTCAATAATGCCGTTTCTTCGGTTTGGTTTCGGTCCATTTTCTACAGATCGAATAATATCGGCTAAAATTTAATCATTGATATATTATATAAATAAACATGGGTATTTTATTTTTTAAGTCATGTTGCAACTGATCTATGTAAAAAAGGCAGAATAACTACATTTTTATACGCCCACATTGAAATGTGGTTGTATATTGTCGTCGCCCCTGTCCGTCCGGCCGGCCGGCGTCCACAGGCTAAAGTTAATATCTGATTGACTTTAAATTTATACACAGTGTTTAAGGTCTTGATCACTTTTAAAAATCTTGTGGACGCTCTAGAGGCCAAAGTTAATATCCGATTGACCTTAAATTTATACACAGTGTTTAAGGTCATGAGACAAAGAAGCCTATTGATTTTCAGCTATTTCCGATAATTACTGTCAGATCACTTCAAAAAATCTTGTGGACGCTCTAAAGGCCAAACTTAATATCCGATTGACTTTAAATTTATACACAGTGTTTAAGGTCATGAGACGAAGAAGCCTATTGATTTTCAGCGATTTCCGATAATTACTGCCAGAGTTCTGGCCCTTGAACACTTTCCAGAGTCTTGTGACACTCTAGAGGCTAAAGTCCGATTGAATTCAATGAATTTTTATGACTTGGAACAGTTAATCCATGATATTAAAAGTTTTGTATACAAAACGTTAGCATGGGGCAGAACTTTATAAAAACCAAACAAATTCTAATGGTTTTCTGAGTTGTTCCTCTTAATAAGATTTTAGTGTATTATAAATGTTTCATTACCGAAAAAAGTAAAAATATGCGACGACTCTTGTTGACTGCCCAGACGATTTAGCTGCTGTGGGCGTATGTTTCGTTACCTGGCAACCTATCTTTTAAAATTCTTGAAAAAATCGCTCCGCTCACCTGATATGGGTTCAATTGTCATATTCCACATGCCCAACATTCTACCAAACATCTCCCGTCAAGTTACACCATCCGCCAATAAAAATAAAGGTACGGTATCCTACTTTTGCGCTTAAAATCATAACCAGTATAGATACATATTGGCATGCACGCAAAAGATATAAGAGTAGACTGTAGCGCCGCTGTCCTGGCAAAATTCCCCCCATAGCATGGTTTATGCCCGTCTTCATTACTCAGTCTGAGCAGAAAAGTAGGACGTAAAGTCAAACCACATTTCATTTTTTTTTTTTTTTTTTTGTAAACCCCATTTCATTTCATTTAATGGTGCCGCTATGGTGACAAAAATTCCCTCATAGCACATTAAATGGCATATGCCTATCTTCATTAACCCAGTCGGAGCAGAACAGTAGGACGTTAAACCCCATTTATTTCTTTTTTTTTCATAATCTCTTGTAGTAACACAATTATGTAATAAAAACCAGTACTAAAATATGATATCAGACATGATATGTTTTACATAAATTTGAAAATAATTAAAATGAATGTAAAATCTAACTACTTGTTTTAACTTTTTATGATGGCTTCAATCTGAACAGATGCGACAATTTAACTGGGAGCTAGGGTGGTTTAGTCAATAAGGCACTGGGTCGCTAAACTGGACCTTAAAGGTCCTTATGATTTTTCAGGGTAGTTTCTCCTTGTCAGTGCTGCAGGAAGAGTGTCTAGTTGTTCGGTTGTTACAAAAAAACGAGGTCACTTGTACACATTGGCGTGCACATATAAGAACCGAGGCACTGTGTACACATATAAGAACGAAGGCCCCTTGCACACATTTACGTGCACGTGTAAGAATCGAGGTCCCATGTACACATTGACGTGCATATGTAAGAACCAAGATCCTGTGTACACATTGACGACTGACGTGTAAAAACAAAGGTCCCATGTACACACTGACAAGCACGTGTAAAAACAAAGGTCCCATGTACACATATAAGAAGCAAAGTCCCATGTACACATATAAGAAGCAAAGTCCCATGTACATATTGGCGTGCATGTAAAAGATCCTGTTTCAGTTTGAATTCGATATAGAAGTAGGCCGTTGAGCCGCTATCTGGGGAAAATTTCCATCATAGCACACCGTATGGCATATGCCCCCCTTTACATAGCCCAGTACTACTTAAAACCCCATTTCATTTAATGTTAACGGATATCTTTTTCCATTTCACCCAAGCTGTTTGGAGACATTGCTATGTTAATTTTTTGTAAATAAATACCATTAGATAACAAATATTATTACATCTATAATTTGGTTTGGGCATTTAGACCAAAGTAAACAATCATAAGGGTATATATACTCTTCAAAAAAAGTAGGGGATATTGAAATGCAAATACCTATGCAGGTTGTGATATGATAAATAGTCATGGACACTTGACATGCTTTGAGAGTATGTTCACAGATGAAGAACTTATCGCCCCAACAGAACCACTGAGCTGCACATACGACACGCAATAGAGCCATAAACGTGGGAGGGGTTCATTGTCAAATTTGACACTTCAAGGAAAGGTTGATGAAAACTGCCGCGTGCTGGTTTATCTATCCATGTTTGCTTTCCTATCGGTTCTTGCATAAGATTTACTGTTTAGCGTATCTTTGCTTTAGTGTGTTACGTTTAATTTGATCGGGAGACGTTTTCGTCAACATCAACCGACAACACTGCAAGAGGAGTGGGTCAGATTGCCCTAAATCGTGATTGGACGGTTGATTAGGAGCATGCCATGACGAATTGTTGAATGTCTGAGGATTGGTGGAGCAATTTACTCATTATTAAGACATAAATCAAAAACGTCCATTTTCCATTTTCACTTTTTACGGTGTATCTCTTTGCGAGTGAAATGGGCCGTCAGATGAGCCGCCCATATGAACTGTTTATGTTTATGTGTAGGCAATTGGCCTGTTATTAACGTACACTGGTTACCTCTAATAAAAACAGCAGTGCATTTCCGCAGTTTTGTATTGTTTCTGAGTATCCCTTACTTTTTTTGAAGAGTATATATATGACCTCAATTTAATATCCCTTCTCAATACTTTCACCACACACAAACATTACAAACTTTTATTTTATATATTATATTTATTTATTATTTTATCATGCTAAAATCTAAATTCAGTATGCTTTTTCTTTAGAAAAAAGAGGGAGGGATAGGGGCAGAATTTTTATTTTATATATTTTGGAGACCACGTATATACAAGAGTACTCTCTCAATTTTCTCAGTCAACTTTAAAGGAGCTAAATCTCTAACTCAATATCATCCAAAATCTTCGACATTTATTTGTCGGTTTAAATCAACATTGATGTTGTGATCTTACCGGGAAAAGATGGGCTTTTGATATCCAATATTTAAGACAAAATAAACATTTTACAATTGATACACGAATCGTGTACCATAATGCGTTTCAGCGCTATTTGTAATAAGGGACTCGAAAAACGAGGCTACGCATATTCCACAAGTCATGTCAAACGGTGACGCTATATTCTTATCTGGAGAGCATGCCCAATAAATGCTATCGGCGTAGACTTGAATAATCGGAAGCTAGATATTGAAATTCGATTGAGAATACTGGCGTATGTCGCCGAACCTAACTGATTAGAAATTACAGTAAAAAAGAAACGATTGAATGGAAATCAATTTATATACATTCATATTACATTATTGTATGCGTTGCGACCCATTTGTGTCAATGTCTAGGTCCCCAATATTAGCGACTTAGCTCTTTTAAGAGAATACTTTTCGATACATTGTCAAAATAATTAAGTATTTGTTCTCCATAAGTAAGTGTAATAGTTTATTGCTGCATCCACTTATTAAATGCCCCTATCGTTTCATATGCTACAAGGCGGGGTTGAATGGCCGGATGGTTAGCACGTGCACGCTGTATCGTAAGGCCTGTCATTGAGTTAACTAGCGGGGTTTTGATTTCCCGATTGTACATGACAAGGAGTAGGGTTTTCTCCGGGTTCTCTGGTTTCCTCCCACTGCTAAAGACCCCTACACGCAAGCGAATTATTGAAATAAAATTGAACCATATGTAAGTCCCGAAATGACCTGGTTTGTGTTGAGTGGACGTTAAACCCCATTTCTCTCTCTCTCTCTCTCATAAGATAAGATAAGGTAAGATGTTTATTGCATCAAAACGTCCAATATGGACAGCATGCATACATATACACTTAGACATAGTCATATACACATAGATAACTCAATACATTCATACAAACAGTATAATACATGTATATCAAATGCTACAAACTAATAAGTTGCATTATTATCATCCTGTCTTGTAGTAAAAATAAAATTCAGTACAGTATTGAAATATTTATTTAGGCAACAAGATGCTGATTTTATCAAATGTTTTGGGCCATTTTGATGTACGCACTGTATGTCCATAACCTGAATAATCAACAAATCTGTTCCTTTAACGCCAAACTGTAAACGTGTTTACTGTACGGTACAGGGAATAATTTTATTGCGAGTTACTCATGCTGGATAGATCCACGTCCCTTTTCCATAAACAACTGTCACTGCGTCGTTCCGGAAATGAACTTGGAAAAGAAAATCATAAGGCAGGAAAGGCGGTCTTTTGTCTGAAAACCGATTTAGCCATTTTCTTGACTTGTAATTTCACTACCAAATCAGCCATTTTGTATCTTGTGTTGTGTTGATTCATTCCTCCATCTTTACGTAATGGTGAGTTGATTTTGATACAAATTTGCCATAAAATCACACCCTGTACAAGAGCAACTCATAACTACACATTGTTTTGGGATGAGTTGTCGTGATTACATGTCATTTGGGACTCGCGTCATTTGGGACTCAAAAAAATATGACCGCGACATTTGGGACTCGGGTATACGACGTTTGGGACTTTGGTATACGACGTTTGGGACTCAGGTATACGGTGTTTGAGACTCGAGAAAAAATGGTGGACACACGACAATTGAATTATAAATATATTTTATTATAATAAATAAAAGACAACTAATGTTTTCATTTCTTTATTATTATTTATAATCTGTTCGGCCATCATCTAAAACGAAAAAGATATGTTATTACTATTTCTACATAATAATGTTTTAATTTCTGAAAAATAAAAGACAACTAACTAGTAATACTGTTTTCATTTCTTTATTATTATAATTAAAAGACAACTAATAATGTTTTCATTTCTTTATTATTATTACTATTTCTACATAATAATATTTTAATTTCTTTATTATTATTCATAATCTGTCTTCGGCCATCATCTAAAACGAAAAAAGATAAATTCTTAAGAGTCCCAAATGTCGTTTATATTGAGTCCCAAATGTCGTTTGTGTTGAGTCCCAAATGACGCCAATCAAGTCCCAAACGTCGTCAACTGAGTCCCAAATGACGTGAGTCCCAAATGACGTGATACCGTTATCTTTGGGATGAGTTGTCTGTATACCGTTTCATCCCACTACCGGTTCATCTCAGGCTGTTTCATCCCAAATTTACACAGGTCCTTTCATCTCACTTGTATTGTGTCGTTTCATCCCACAAATTTAAAAACCGATAGAACAGATCAAAGAATAAAATTGCACGTAGCATCAAATAACCCAACGTTAAAAGAAAGCATGCAGTGTCCACCTTACAACAACAGGTTCCATTGATTTACGATTTATTTTATAATTTATCACACAGTTTAGACCACAATGTGTTACCATTCACATTTTAGTATTCTAAATTGATTCTTATTCGGAATTCTTATATTTGGAGTTGTTTAGTCGAGTAGACTAATCACCGGAATTCATTTACAAATACCGGAATTCACTTAAAAAAACCTGATTCCTCCCATAAAACTAATTTATTTTAAATGTATTGCAGACCAACCCTTCCCATCACCTGCAAGGGTGTGGTAAAGTTGGTAGATTAAACCTGCTTAGTTCGGGGAAATAGATTTCTTGATTTATAACACCAGATAGGTTTTAAATAAGTTTATATATTCCACAAATAACACATGTTACAGTTAAAACAATTAAATAAAACGCGTAGTCGATGCTGGTTACTCTACATGTATATCAAAACCATGACCATGACCGTTAAACACCAGTTCTGTTGATATTACACATAACTAGAACATATAATATATTTATGTTTGGCAAGTGATGGCCCCATTTGTGGAAAAGAGCCGGTGTTGACCTTCACTATTCTGTAACATGTGGTAATGATGGCATGCATGTAATTTAGTTTTATCCCAGCTACACTTCCGAATAACCAACCAGGACAAAGAATTACAAATCACCTGATAAACAACTTTTCAGACAGACCACCTTAATCACTGAAAGACTCCAACGAGTTATCCTTTCAACTACCCAAAAAATATTAAAACTAAACCCACATAAGAAATCAGACATTTCAACCACTAAAATAAAATGAACCATAATCCAGACAATATAATTCCAGACCCTTACAATAGAAAATCCACCACCAGAAACATCTTCACTAATTTATATTAATCTTAATCTTTAAGAGGCATTTAGTAACTGGGTAGAGCAATACACAAAAAACACATACTTATGGAAAAACAGCTACTTATTTATTTGGGCGACGTTTCGAAGAGTATTCTCTCAACGTTATCAAGCTAATACAGTAATACAAGAATAATGAGATCAATATATACAGAAAACTGTAACAACAATTCATGAAACCATACAGGACAACAACAAGATCAAAGGGGTTTATTCTACAAAAACTAATTAAGTGTGAAGAGTAGCCAAAATTTATATTAGCTCAAAACCAAAACTATAAACTCACAAATTCAAAACTACCAATATTAAAGACACTGGCCAGGACATTCATAACCAATGTCAATTGACAGAGTCCCGAAATACGACCCTGTTACAAATGTATAATACATTCCGGTGATTAGTCGGGCCCTTGTTTAGTTCCATTTCGTGTACGGAAATTAAATAAACGATCAGTTTTAAAATTAATTATGGTTTCGAAATAGTATCAACCTAATTTGTCTTGTTTAAAAGGGGCTCCTGCGCAATTTAGTTGATTATTGGGTAATACGTAGAGTCCATGATGTATTTTGGCGAGTGATTAAGCTGTCAATATGTAATTATAGAATACCTTTTTATAAAGAAGATAAATGATGTTAGACATCATAAACTAACAAACAATACGAATATTCAATGTACTTTACTACAAAAACATCGGTGAACTGATCTAAAATCATAACGTCAATTAACAAACAATACGAATATACAGCAGTGAACTAATCACGGTCGTGATCGGTAATCAACAAAAATCGATGAATAAAACAATAAGTAAGTGTTTAACAGTTTATTTAACAATAAGTACAACTCAGTTAATTAACTGCTATTCTAATAACAAGGGGTTGAAACAGCCCAATAAAAAAATAGGTTGGGATGAAACCACCCAGGGTGAAACGGTCGTGGGATGAACTGACCCACATCTGCTTCTATAACCTGTATTTTAATTGTTTTCCAGTAATCCCTTAATTATGTATACTCCCCGCCTCATTCGTTCAAGAGAGATAATAGGGTAAAGAGTTGGGGAGGTGTTAATTGTAGCCCGGTTGGGGAGGTTTAGGAACTTCCAAAATCCACAATTGTAGCTTTATACAAATGAGTATTTTGGGGAATACTAACCGTAACCCTTTTAAGAGTAGTAAAAGGTAAATTAGATCCAAGGGTTAGCGTTAGTATTCCCCAAAATAGCCTACTCATTTATATAAAGCGGCCATTGTGGACTCCGAAATTTCCAAACCCCCCCAATCAGCCTACAATTAACATCTCCCAAAGAGGTACTGGTCACCCAAATTCAAATTATCAATTGATCTTCTTGAAAGTAGTAACTTGGCGAGATTTTAAAGGAATTAATTTTTCAGAAAAGAAAGAGTATTTTTTTAATATATACTTACATATTATTCTGTTGTATACTGATTTACATAAGTATATACATGTATTTTAAAAAAATATTTCGCAATGTTACTCCCTTGAATGAATGAGATGAGGAGTATACACAATTAGGGATTAATGGAAAACAATTAACAATGAATGAGTTGGTGAGTATAGCAATAAAGGGATTACTAGAACAAATTTAAAATACAGGTTAAAGAAGCTATGCACAGCCAAGGTGTGATTTTATGATAATTAAAGTATTTGAAGTGATCATGATATCCTTTCATATGGGCAAAAAATTTAATATACATTTAATATGTTAAAAATCTTGAATTTTTCATGTTTTTGATATATAATCATAAATTAATGGTACCACCTGGAATGCACTTGTAAGTGAGGAGGATTATTTTGTATTGAATACATCTGTTTATGGGCAGCCAGTGAAGGGATTTGAGCACAGGTTTAATGTGGTCGTGGTGATTAGACACGCGGCAGTGTTTTGTTCTGGTGATAAGACATGTAGCAGTATTTTGTATCTTTTGTAAGTCTTATAAGTAAAGAAATTGCAATAGTCCAGTCCAATCTACATGTGACGCTGGAACTTAATAAAGTAAAGAAATTACAACAGCCCAATGTGATTGAAGAGTTCACTTGTAGTTTAGTTGAAACTTTATCTAAGTATTTCCACACACGATCAATGTTGAACAGCTGAACATTATTACAGGCTGCTAATGATATGTTTATATATTACAGGAAACTAATGATGTTAGAACTTTAGAAAACCACTACAAAGTCCATGCTAGAGAAGAGAAAACTGATGATATAGATGAATATTGTTATGTTAAAGAAGAGAAAACTGATGATGTAGATGAATATTGTTATGTCAAAGAAGAGAAAACTGATGATGTAGATGAATATTGCCAGGTTACAGAAAAGAAAACTGATGATAATGAAACTAATGACGTACATAAATACATGTATTGTCATGTTAAAGAAGAGAAAACTGTTTATCAGTGTAAATTGTGTGACGAAGAATTTAATTTAGAAACAGATTTAGAAAAACATTGTGAAATACATGTTAGTCAATATAAATTGTGTGATGAAGAATTTGAATTAGAAACTGATTCAGAAAAACACTCTGAAGTACATGTTAAAGAAGAGAAGTCAGTTTTGCAGCATGGTAAAAATAAGGAGACACCTTTTAGCCAGTATAATGAAACAAAGATACAAAATCCAGATGTTTCCAAAGAATGTCATATTTGCGGTAAATCTTTTATTAAAAATTACTTCTTGCAAATTCATATGAGAATTCATACCGGTGAGAGAACTTGTAAATGTGATGTTTGTGGTATATCATTTATTCATAGTAGCAGTCTTCAGCAACACATGGAAACTCATTCTGAAGAAAAACCATATCAGTGTGAGGTTTGTACTACATCATTTGAAGAAAGGAGCGAACTAAAACAGCACTTAAGAATTCATACTGAATACAGACCATTTAAATGTGAGATCTGTAGTAAATCATTTAGACAAATGAGTGGACTCGGGCAGCATATGAAAATTCACACAGAAGAGAAGCCATTTGAATGTGGTGTTTGTAATAAATCATTTTATACACATAGTCATTTGAAAGTACACATTAGAATTCATACTGGTGAAAAGCCATTTAAATGCGATGTTTGTAATAAATCCTTCTTTATTAGTAGTCATCTAAAGAGACACATGAAAACTCATATTCAAGATACAGTTTATAATTGTGAGGTTTGTTGTAAATCATTTTCTCAGACGAGTCGTTTTGAAAGACACATGAAAACTCATACTGAAAATAAACTACACAAATGTGATGTTTGTAGTAAATCGTTCACCAGGAATACTAATCTGCAACGACACATGAGAACGCATACCGGCGAGAAACCCTATAAATGTGGTGTATGTGGTAAATCATTTGCTCATAGTAGTACTCTACAGTTACACATGAAAGGCCATACAGGTGAAAAAACTCACGTATGTGATATTTGTGGTAAACCTTTATCTTCTGGAGGTAAACTCCAGTCACATATGAGAACCCATACGGGCGAAAAACCTTACAAGTGTCACATTTGTGGTAAATCATTTTCTTCTCATCTTTACGGACACATGAGAATTCATACAGGTGAAAAACCTTACAGATGTGATGTTTGTAATAAATCATTCACTTTTAAAAATAATTTACAGGTACACATGAGAATTCATACTGGTGAAAAACCTTTTAATTGTAACATTTGTGGTACATTATTTAGAGAACAAGGTCATCTTCGGGAACACATGAGAATTCATACCGGTGAAAAGAAAACATTATAAATGCGATGTTAGTAATAAATCATTTACTGTGAGGTATATACAGGTCTCTCTGGATTGCCCTTTTCCCCTGTAGATATACATGTAAGTATTGGGGGTACATGTATAGTGCGCTAACAAACCCCCTTGACTACTATCGTCAAATTATCTACATCATGACTACTGTTAAGCTCCCTACTCGAGGTCGAAACTTACGATTAAAGCGCTGTAGAACAATCTCAATTTGAACTTTTATGCATGTGTAATGTGTACAGTTGTATATAGTTAGAATTTAACTGTTAAATGGTTATGTTTATGTGGTACATGCAGAGTCAGATTAAGCTTGCTTTGGACTCCTGACTGAAAATGTCACTGGGTCCCTTGAATTAACGAGTAAAAGGAAGCATATTCTGTTCTTTGTCTGTCACAATTGCAGTTTGTACAGTATGGTAGATAGATAGATTTGTTTGAGATAAACATATACAACATAATAAATGACATTATGGTACAAATTGTTTTATTGGGATCCTGGGGTTGCAGCTCAGTGAAGTTCTACTCAGATCCTACATCACTTCAATACATGTATGTCTCCTATAGACAACATCATACTAAGACATGATAAAACATGGCCCAATTTCCACATAATTTTTAGCTGCGGCAGATTCAGTTTAATGTCCTACTGTTCTGCTCCAACTGGGCTAATGAAGACGGGCATATGCCATACAGTGTACTATGGGGGAAATTTTGTCCTTACAGCTGAGTTACAGCCAAGGGATCCATTACGCGCACACAGGAGCTCGGTTTTTAATCCCTTCAAACAACTATATGTTGTCCCTTGGTCCTGCACTACTGACAACGAGGAACCATGCTGGAAAATCCAGATAACTTTCTCAGCCAACGCAGGGATCAAACAGGGGACCTCCAGGTTAGTGAGCCACCGTGTCTCCCACAGGTCTAAGACATATCCCCAATCAGTTGCTGCCAGTATTTATCTGAAAATTAGACATTTTCAAAAAAGTCAAATTTTCAATCATGTGTGGTGGGGGGGGGGGATTGGATGGCTGTTGGTTAGCTGCAACCAGTTGCTGCCAGTAATTATCTGAGAATTAGACATTTTCAAAAAAGTCAAATTTTCCATCATGTTGGGGGGGGGGGGGGGAGATTGGATGGCTGTTTGTTTGCACACTGTACCATAAAGTCTATCACTGAGTCAACTGGCATGGTTTTGATTACCCGGTTGTACATGTACGTGACAAGGAGTAGAGTCGCCTGTCCAACCTAGTGGGTTTTCTCCTGGCCCTCCGGTTTCCTCCCACTGCTAAAGACCCCTATGTGCAAGCGAATTATGGAAATAAAATTGAACCATGTGTTAGTCCCTAAATGACCTAGTTTTTTGTCGAGTGGACGTTAAAACCCATTTCTCTCTCTCTCTCTCCATCATGTGGGCACCCTTAATAGTCTACGAAAATGATCAGATCCATCCAATCTAATGGCATATATGTATATCGAAAGACCACCATGCGTGTCAACTAACCTGTTTTTTACGTCAAATTCACCACCCTTCTCCCGATCTCCCGCACGGGAGGAAATTTCCCACAGAAAATGGTCATATGCCAATGCTACTTTTACTTTCACCAAGGGATATAACCGTCTTACTTTCGTTTTATATTTGGTCTCAGACTAGCAATTCTTTGCCCATTGACTTCAATGTTGAATGGCTGTAACATCACAGGCTGTAGCTTTTTGCTCATATTCCGTTGGTTCCAATCTTTATAGGCACAATGGGGACAACATTTGGCAATCTCCCCATCATAATTTTGTAGGGGGTTGACCATTTAGATTTTTTGCTACGCGGATTTGAAGGTGACTGGGGTGAAAATCTCACTTCCGACACAATGATTGCTCTGCAGAAGGACACTTTACACCTCCTATCCCTCCGCTGTAATATCATCAGTATTAGCCAAAACTACTATGAAATTGCAAATTTGATCCCTTTTCTCCAATTCTAGACCAAAAAGTCAACCCAAAAATGCAGGAAGAGGGGAGAAAAAAATTAAGGGAAAAATTGTCTATTTATAACTCGCACTACATTCGATCATGAAATAAGGGGAAATAATTACTAGTCTTCGTCCAAATCGACCTCATGATTGGCTGAATTTGACCGGAATCTTCTAATTCCGGTAATATGCTTGACAGCCAAACGTGTGTTTGTGATTATTATTGTTTGGAGTAAATAAAGTATAATGCCTAGTAAACGTCTATGCAATTTTGACAATTCTCCCGCGAAGAGAAAACATTTCACGCCACGTGACTTCAGCGACTAGCGTGAAATCGGAAGAGTGAAATTTAGCCGACTTTCAGTCTGCGATTTTGGATTACGTTTTCATTGCATTATATTACTAGCGATAGTATTATAATACTTTGATATCGATCTCAATATTGAAAATTTATCGAAATATAAGCGCAAATACCATTAAATATGATTTATGTACAGGAGAGACTAGCGCAAAAATACCGCTCTGACGTCACGTTTCCGGGGATTTCCATTTACGCGATTACAGCCATAGACTGATAGCCTGCCTTTCATCTGATATAAATATTGTATATTTTATCCTTCAAATTATTACGACTTTTATAAGTTTTAGCGGGCTTCAGTTTTAAAATTGGTACGAGCACGTACCTTATAATATTATAAGGCCCATAGTACGAGTCAGTCTATACCGCTTATGACGTCGCTCAGATATTATGACTGAAAAGCACTTATTTGGAGTGGCGTAGTAAAGTTCTTGGGTAGCATTTTATGTATATTTTCACAAAAGTTTTCAAAATAAAAATTTCTGTCATTAAAAATATTGACCCAAAACCGAAAAATAATTTCAATTTGAACGCAGCAAAAACGAGTGCACAGTGTATAAAGTGCTAAAGAATGGTGAATGAAAATGAAGTTATTTCATGAAAAAAAAAATATCCTCTGAAGAGCACAAAAATATATATATAGTTTCTATATTTTGCAGAAAAATGGATTATGCCGCAGGCATTCGATTGAGTCTTGGCAGGAGCCACGTAAGGCTCCACCGATTGGATAACCGAAACCGGAGAACTAACGTACAGGGGGAGGGAGGTACACAGTGCCGATAGTGGATGGGGATTTCTTGTGGAGACCCGCAGCTATAGGGTGGATAGGCCCAGTTCTTTTGTAGCACAGCCGGTCAACTCAACCAGCAGGACATTTAATCCCCAGGGGTGGATACTCCCAGAAGAGAGGATTCACTGCACCCAAGGGCGGAGCCAAACCTACTCGCTCGTGGGCTGTAATAAAATAGACCGGAAAATTAAAAAAACACTGTTTTCAAAGAACATCTGCCCTCATGTTTTCTACAGGAAACCACTCTAGATAAAGGGGTTATTTCAATGTAGATAGAAGCTTTAAATTATTTCTGCCATTTGGTGGGGAGCACCCCATTTCACATAGCCTTTACTTTTAACGAAAGAGGTCTTATAAAAGATGGTTCCCTGAGGGAGGCTACCTTCCCTACTCTTAGGGCAATTTTTAGAAGATATGGGTGGCCCGAATAGAATACCTACACCCCATTCCCCTTCCGGGGCCCCTTTCAGCAGCCGGGACTATAACAGACCAAACGTAACCAAACTACACAACATAGTTCCCGTATTACTACGCTGCGAGATAAATAGATTGGCCGTCTGTCAGACGGTCATCTAACTCAGTTATTTCAACTACGGAAAGACAACAGATATCACAGATTAATTACGGTAATTGGATTACTTTAATTACGGACATAACTAGGCAGCCAAGTTGGCTGAAAATACAATACGGCTCACAAATATTGCAGCTAGGGTGTGTAGGGCAATGTGTATGAATGAGTGGATGAATTGTAAAATTGTTTTATTGTGATTTTGTAAATATTCTTTTGTATAAATAGTTTTATACTTTCTTCTTGGAAGCTGACATCCGCATCAAAGGCAATACATATCTGGACTAAGACTAGTAATTATTTCCCCTTATTTCATGATAGTGCGAGTTATTAATAGACAATTTTTCCCTTAATTTTTTTCTCCCCTCTTCCTGCATTTTTGGGTTGACTTTTTGGTCTAGAATATGAGAAAAGGGATCAAATTTGCAATTTTATAGCAGTTTTGGGTAATACTGGTGATATTACAGCGGAGGGATAGGTGTGTAAAATGTCTTTCTGCGGAGCAATTATTGTATCGGAAGTGAGATTTTCACCCCAGTCAACTTCAAATCCCCGTAGCAAAAAATCTAAACGGTCAACCCTCTACAAATTTATGCTGAGGAGATTGCCAAATGTGGGTCCCCATTGTGCCTATAGAGATTGGAACCAACGGAATGTTGAGCAAAAAGCTACAGCCTGTGTTGTTACACCCATTTAACATTGAAGTCAATGGGCAAATAATTACTAGTCTGATACCTGATCCGTTTCAGAGTTGTCTGGGTTGGATAGATCCAATATTCTATTCAATATACAACCGATTTCCTGCTTTTGTTTCAAAGCTATTTCCGGATCCGCACTGTACCGGAATTGAACTTCTGAAACAACAGAAACATATTTTCCTCTTCGTTTTCTTTCTTTCTTTCTTAATGCCAATCGCTCTCTTAACTCTCTCTCAGTCGATCATTAGCCAGCATTGGCACATTCGACGTATTGATACAGAACTTGACTAATTGCGTTGTTTAGATTGGACACATATACAAGCACAGACTGTAGCAGACGATTGACCATTATGATTTAGACGTGATCGACTATTTAGCAGCAGTTTACACACAAAATAATGGTGAGTATATTGGTTTAAATATTGTGACTACGTAACTTCCCTGAAGTTGATATCTTTGACACGTTTCTAACATTATAGGTTGGTTTGGCTCTCCCAAACTCAACCGTATATTGATGGGTTGCCTAAACTCAACTACATTTATGGGTCGCCAAACTGTATATATTCTTGGAGTGCACATGCTCTGTTGATAGGGTGCCCCTTGGCCGAAACTTTTCCCTTCTAAAAGTTGTACTCGACACGTTGAATGTGCACGCTTCAGTGACGTAACTCTAATTGATTTCAGACGAGTCTCAGACTCTCTTTGTGTCTATAAATAGCCACAGCTCGTGAAATTCTCAACACTTGTAATAACTATTACAGACGTAAAAAATCTATTGTTGACGATTCTGAATAGCAGTAATATTTAGTAGGGCTGCAACGATACACCAGGCCACGATACGATGCGCATCACGATTCATACCCCACGATACAATTAATATCGCGATGCAGTTTTCTCGGTCCACTGAACGAATTCCATTCTTGTCATAATTTACGGGAAATCCAAAAAACTCCCATACTTGTGACTTATACTTGACAGGGATTTTCAATTTCTACATTATTTTTGTCGCCCGTACGACCTGAATTTGTTGACGAATGCATCATTATTAAAAATATTCTGTTGCTGAATCAATTCAATGGCTGGCTCGTATTGCTACAACAATTTCAGCAAATGGAAAGCTTTCTCGTTGTCAGGTCAGTCGTAAATGAGAGAATGGCAAAGAAAATAACAATACGAAATTTGAATGTCAAAATATTATTATACATTGAAAATATAGAAAAGATAATTGTGCTGATCATTGTATGCACCTATCACCATTCTTGCACAGTAGTCTTATTACAAATCGCATATTACTGACGTATGTATAATAATATGTTGTATGTTTTTTCCGCATATTATTCAAGTGTGTAATTTGCAAGTAACCTAATTTCATGCCTGACTTGCTTATCCAGACTGATATTTTATTTTATTCTTGACGAAATAGCTGAAAGTCTCGAATTATTCACGTGCCGAAAGCGAGTTAACACGTACTCGCTGAAAGTAAAAAAAATTATTTTACTCATAGACTTATTTAGGCATTCCTCGTTAGGATATTTAAACGACAGAATGTCAGTCTATTTTTTTTTTAATTTTGGATAACGAATAGCGATACGGACATTGATTGTATCGTGCATCGTGGATTTTTAAACTATCGCGGTTCATCGATGAATCGTTGCAGCCCTAATATTTAGCTTTTTGGTTATTACTGCAGCTTTAGAAATTACGCTCGTTTTATTTTTTAAATTGCTTTATCATTAACTAGACCGTTAGGAGTGGCATCTTTTGGTTTAGTACAAATAATATCTCTGAATAACGCGGGTTGGGCAGGAAAATGATACTAGCAGTAGTTTCATTTTACTTTTACAAGGTTCTTAAAACAATTGTTGCATCGCCCACCGGGCGTTAAATTTGTAAATTCAATTTCTTGTTCTAGCTTTCTGTCATGTTTCGTAAAAAAGTAGTCTTGATTATCCCGGCCTGTCAATCAGACGGAGAATGGTCGGTAGACTGGTTAAGTGAGACTAATTTCAAAACAAGGGCACGTAACCTATTTTTTGCTCAAAAGTGTCTGGATGTCATGGACGACACTCCGAACCATTTTTCAGTGTATTATTTATAGATGGTTAAATGGTCATATCTTATTAAGTACAACATGACCGTCTATTTAGTGACTATAATTGTGCGAAACTGGTTTAAAGCTTAGTATATATATAAGTATTGTGGTGTAATTGTCGAGATATTTGGAGATATTTATTTATGGTGGGGCAGCCTACTGTTGATTAGCTCAAGTGGGGATTTTTATTGCACATGAGAGATGGTTGCTTGTCTAGCAGACCAGTTGATAACTCTTTCCAAAGTTTCTATCATAGAAGGGGGTTGGTTGTCTATAGTGGTTTAACGTGTGCACATGAAATCAAGGTCTGTGATGGGAGTCAAGTAGCATGATTTTGATTACCCACTTGTGACATTGAGTTCGGTCACCTTAGATAAGAAACCTCCTCTCTCAACCCTCCCGTGTTTTGAGATAAGAGATGGTGCTATATAGTTTTACCTGGCAAACCCCGACGTGACACATCAGGCTTCATTAAGCACAATTGACAATATATTTCATCAAAACAACAATTGATTATTGTTGGGTTGTCTGTAGTGGTTTAACGTGTGCACATGAAATCAAGGTCTGTGATGGGAGTCAAGTAGCATGATTTTGATTACCCACTTGTGACAAGGAGTTCGGTCACCTTAGATAAGAAACCTCCTCTCTCAACCCTCCCGTGTTTTGAGATAAGAGATGGTGCTATATAGTTTTACCTGGCAAACCCCGATGTGACACATCAGGCTTCATTAAGCACAATTGACAATATTTTTCATCAAAACAACAATTGATTATTGTTGGGTTGTCTGTAGTGGTTTAACGTGTGCACATGAAATCAAGGTCTGTGATGGGAGTCAAGTAGCATGATTTTGATTACCCACTTGTGACAAGGAGTTCGGTCACCTTAGATAAGAAACCTCCTCTCTCAACCCTCCCGTGTTTCGAGATAAGAGATGGTGCTATATAGTTTTACCTGGCAAACCCCGACGTGACACATCAAACTTCATTAAGCACAATTGACAACATTTTTCATCAAAACAACTGATTATTGTTATTTATAACATTTCAGCCACATCCAAGTACAAATAAGCATAAAGTCCTACCTGAAATGGGTACAAATCATCGTATTTAAATGAGGCATTGTGAGCCGTTACTAAAAAGCCATTTTACAATGTTGCTTGTTATTGAAATAGGCCATTCGGCACACCTCAGTTAACGTTGTTTCCTTACAACCCTGCAATGAAAGCTCTACACACGTTTCGAACAACACTATTTTGAGAATTTCTTTCTAAAAGCGGCAAGTTTTAATAATAAATGTAAGTAAACCGGTAGCTGCATCACATTGTGTAGGTGTAGCTACATAACATCATGGACAGTCCATGATTACTTACCGTCAAACAGCCATGGTTATGTGTAGGGTACCGGATGCGGTCCAGATGTCAAGGTTTTCCAAATGAAAAGAAGCATGTACAATGAACATCGATGTTGTTTTCAAGTCAGATAAAAACGTTGCTCCATTAATTATTTTAAACACGAAAATTTGGAATTAGGTGATAGTTGTGTCACTACATGTATTATCGACCTCTGTAAGTTTAATTAGTCATAATAGTATATTATTTTATTTTTAAGATGTTACATGTATTAATAAAAAAATTGAGTTTGCCAGGTGAAACTAAAGGCACCGAAACATAGCTATATCAAATACATCAGTATACAGTATCTTAAACGATTTTAACTCTGTTCTCGTAGCTAGGTCACCTGTCCAACCTTGTGGTTTTCTCCAGTTTCCTCCCACCGTAATTTTTAGTGTTGATCAACTTATTGTAAACAGGATTGAAAAAAAAACATGTTAATTCAGCATTGCAAATATTATCAAATCTGTAGTTAAACTTGTAATTATTCTTAACGAACAGTGCTTGAAAGAATGTTAGATTATTTTAGTATGCCACCACCAAAATGCTCCAAGACTACACATGATACTGACATCAGCACTCGTTCATCAGATGATCATACATACATGTACTTAGTTGTTAAAGTGATTTCCGGTTTCACAATAGGTCTACCTCAAAAGTCTGCAGCAGAGAAAACTTTCGAAAAGCATAAAATTTAATTCACTTGAAAAAGGTAGATCTTTTAGGGATGAAAGGAAATTTTCAAATCCTTCGTTAAGGCATGATGCAGCTACCCAAACGTATGTTTTGTTCCACATGTGAATCGGCTAAATTCATTCACAACTGGTTGTAGTGTACTAAAAAAGGAAAGAATTAGTGCTAATCTTTCAAGTAAAGTTACATGTAACTACCGGTACTTGTTTGTTTTGTTCATGATTGTGAATATATGTATATACATGTATGCTACATGTATTTCAGTTTTCTGTTAGGGATAATTAAATGTGTTTTGCACAGGAAACAAGAGCCACAAAGTTGCCCATCAAGTCTTAGGAACTGGTAAAGGTATGGTTAAAGCTGCCATGAAGAATGTTTTATTCAAGGCATAGCATGACCTAACCTACCCAATTCCATTCTGCAAGACCTCAACAATCCGTTGATTGAACGTTGTGTCAGTCATTTACAGTCCTTAAATATGGATAAACATACAAGTTACACTCATAATGTTCTTGAATTTCAACAAACATGGCAGATGTAGTGTTGGATGAACTGGTAGATAAAGTTAAAAAAGTCAAATGATTCTAGCCTGCGAATTGATGAATCAACAGATGTTCAGTAGATAAAAATTTAGTAATTTGTGTAAGATACTTGTTTAGTCCTAGTACGGAATATACATGTAACAGTAGGACGTTAAACCCCATTTCCAATCCTAGTAATTTGAATGCTTGTTTTGAAGAAAATGGAGATGCTGTTATATTGAGTAATTTGTGTAAAATATTTGATAATAGTAAAATAGATGTAGCATTTGTTGATAACATTGTAGATTATGTAAATTTGTTGAAACTTGATACTTTTACTTTGTCTGAAGAAGTTATGGTACATGCATTTAGAAATTATGTACAGGTTTCTGACTTCGATGATGATTATATTACTGCTGTTTGTAAATTTGCCCTAATGCAAACTGATTCATTCCCAAGTATTTGTAATATTAGTAAGCGCTTGCTCACAGATCCTGTGGCAACTGCAGACTGTGACAGAGGGTTTAGTCGACAGAATATTATCAAAAAATAAATACAGAAATTCTTTAAAAACAAATACCCTTTGTATACCCTATTTTTCGGTGTATTAGTTGCACCTTTTTTACCATATATTTTTATTTATAGAAGGGGTGTGCCTAATACATAGTGTTAAGCAAATCGAGGCTTTTCCCAGTGTCAACATC